GAACTTGACTGTCGGCAACGGCTGGCACGATTTGATTGTGGTGAGATGCGAGGACGCCCATGTAATATCGGCATCAAATGAAACGCGAACAGCAGAGCGCGTGGCACAAGCCTTATCAAATGACATAGTGCGTGCCGTTCACCAGTCATTGACACAGACAGGCCCAGCACATCCGGCGTGGCAGCACTGCACCATCCCCCTATAGTGCAATATTTCTGCTTGTGTTCAGGTACTGTATTTGAAAGGAGCAAAATAAAAAATACAGAGGTTAAACTACTGCAGCCGAAGGCGAGTATTGTAGCACGTTTTGTCATCACGGAGTCAATCATTCATGGAACGCCTGGCAAATGCTATTTATAGTACACAAAGGTCAGTTAATGATGCTGGCAATTTCACGCTGTTTCACTTCGTGCCGGTAAAGCAAAACAATTTGCTTGCTCTGTTCCGAAGAAACAACCGGCATTTCCATTAAAAAAAAACTGAAGCCTTTTCGGGTCGTTCTCTGAAAGAAGGTTGGCCCGTGTGCTCAGATTTGGGTGCACGTTAAATAACCCCAGGTGCTCGAAATTTCTGGAAGCCCTCCACTACGATGTCTCTCATAATCACATGGTGGTTTTGGGACGTTAAACCCCACATATCAATCAATCTCTGAAAGAAGGGTGTAGGTGAAGCAGCGCTGGCGAGCGAGATACGACAATCGTTTGAAAAATCAACCACAAACCGATTATATTTCTCTTTTTGTTTTATCGTGCCAAGACGCCGATTGTATTGCGACGCAGCACTAAAAGCAAGGAATTGCGAGTGATACAATCAAAAGGGCTCGGCACGCCCACAATTTCCCCCATTGTCACCTTACGAAAACTAGAGCAGAAACGGAGATACCGTACTCTAGGTGGATCGCGCAGTGCTGCCAAACCGGATGTGCTCGCCTGTCAATGGTGATGGTTGGACGGCCAACACTACACTGTTTCTAATGCTTGAAACACGCGCTCCGCTGTTCGGGTTTCATTTGACGCCGATAGTACGTTTATTGATGCACGATGAAGAACATCAGGAACTCGAAAACAAAGTCCTAAGTCTCACACTACAGTGTCTCTAGCGATCATATCATAGTTTTCGCACGTGAAATCTCCGCTATTGTTTCTGATTATCAGTGGTGCAATGTCGTCTGCCTCTAGACGATGCGTCTTAGCCAATTAAAATACCAAAAAAAAAAAAAATATATTAGAGGCATTAGAAGGAAGGCAGGAATCAGGAGCGCACAGGACAGGCGATGGGGCTTAATATATTAAAAAAATGGTGTGCACGATGCCTTACACAGGGTTCAGTTTGCAAAGCTAGAGGTGTAAAATCAGACAAGGAGTAGGAATGAAACTCACGTCTTTTCAGTCAGTCGCTCAGTTTTGTGCAGTCTACGACATCACTTTTATTTTTTATTTATTTTTATAGTTACTTATTTTATTTATTACTTTTGTTAGAAAGAAAAATTAAGAGTGAGCATTTCACTGGAATCTACGCAGGCCGAGAAGCGATCTACACAAGCTCACCGTTTCACATATCAAAGACGAAAGCCCAAAAGAAACCATGGAGGGACGATGGTGACAGGTGCTGTATACTATTCACCAAAGTTTTAAACGTAAAGGTTCAGTTAAGATGCGTAAGCTTCATGGCGCTAATAACATAGAATGAATGTATTTTATGTGAACAATTTGCAGAATATTTATAAATTGCGCGCTGATACCTTCAAGTTTTTTACAGGTATATACTGTGTGATCTTAATAATTATGTGCTTCCGCTCCCGAACTACCATTGAGTTCGGTGATTCCGCTTCCTTGGTCATGGCACCGCGCTTTGAATGCGGATGTGAAAAGATTTAAACAATGAGGCTTTGATGCATGTTACCTCCATGTTACAGTATAAGAAAGCACTCTAGTTTGATATATTGGGAGCGCAACACATCGTCAGCCATGGTTCAACTCTAGAGACTATGATCAGTTGAACATCTTCAACGTGCTCATACAATTATTGGTTATTTATTCAAAGCTCGTCTACATTGAAGTCCTGTGTTTCCTCTAAATCAATGCTCCCTATTTTTTCTAAAAATAATTAATCAGTGATTGAACGAATACATCAGTTGAACATTTCAGTAGCGTAAAAACCACCAAAGAATTATTAGAGATTGTGTTGTTACCCATTATATCACTTCTGTATTGCTGTTACTTTTCCACGCAAAAAAAAAAATCATGGCATATCCACGGACTGAATGATGATGAGTGAGGCAAAGCGTCCGGCAGTCTGCTCATGCTTCCATCTGTCGGTTCATTCTTTCTTGCGTTTGTACGTGCGTCCCGTACTACGTCGGTCACACTGATAGTGAAAGTTGCAAAAAAAAAATCATAACTTCTTGTTGTGCGTTAGGCTTTAACCAAATTTTCTCAATCCCACACTGACGCAGGAGCTCAGGTAGTGACGCAGACGTCGAGGACTTGCAGGGAGAAGCATGCAACGGTACCTTTCCGGAGGCACTGATCATGCCTTACAGAAAAGGTGTCTTGTCGAGACAACAGCCTTTGCATGAAGGACACGACCACTTCTTGTGAGTAAAATACATCTTTCAGAAGAGCTGTGGCATTGATGACTGGAACTGGTTTTGTTTGCAACACGAATAAGAATTCTTTACTTGAAACGATCAATGTCAGATGGCATGCAGTTTATCATTTACCTTATATTTTGAAGGGACCTGCCGAGGCTAGTTGGTATGATGTTCTTCAAGTAATCTCTGCGCGTTGTTTGATTATTGAAAGCGTAAGCAGCACAGGTACATGTGATGTTCAGCACAG